TATATAATAAAAAGAAAAAACACTAAAGAAACAAAACCGCTAATTATATTACCTAAAAACACTATGTAATAAATACGAAAACGGTGTAATAATAACTATAGATAACATAGTGTAAATCCCAAAAAGTATAATATAATAAAACAAAAGGCACTCAAGAAAGAAAAGCACTAATTGTATCCTCTTAAAGCACTATTTAACATACTGGAAGACAACTATAATTAACTCTAGAGCACAAAGTACAATATCATAAAGTGCTATATAATAAAAAGCAAAAACACTAAAGAAACAAAAGCACTATTTATATTTCCTTAAAACACTATGTTACAAACATGAAGCACTTTATAAATCTTTAAGGGAATATATTTAGCGCTTTTGTTTCTTCGCAGTTTTTCTTTATAATATTAAGAAAAGCACTTTATAAGATTATAATTTGTGCTGTAGAGTTCTAATTACAGCGCTTTTCGTATCTGTTAAATAGTACTGTAAGGGAATACAGTTAGTGCTGTGTTTCTTAATTGCCTTTTCTTTTTATAATATTGCACTTTATGGGTTTATACTTTGTGCTCTATAGTTCTAATTACAGTTCTTTCCGTATTTGTTTTATAATGCTTTAGCGGAATATATTTAGCGCTTTTGTTTCTTCACTGTTTTCCTTCATAATATTAACAAAAGCACTTTATAAGATTATACTTTGTGCTCTAGAGTTCTAATTACAGTGCTTTTCGTATATGTTAATTAGTGTTTTGAGGGAATAAAGTTAGTGCTTTTGTTTCTTAACTACCTTTTATTTTTATAATATAGCACTTTATGGTATTATACTTTGTGCTCTATAGTTCTAATTATAGTGCTTTCCGTATTTGTTTTATAATGCTTTAAGGGAATATATTTAGCGTTGTTGTTTCTTCACTATTTTTCCTCCGTATTATAAAGCACTTTATAAGATTATACTTTGTGCTGTAGAGTTCTAATTACAGCGTTTTTCGTATATGTTAAATAATGCTTTAAGGGAATACAGTTAGTGTTGTGTTTCTTAACTGCCTTTTCTTTTTATGATATAGCACTTTATGGTATTATACTTTGTGCTCTATAGTTCTAATTATAGTGCTTTCCATATTTGTTTTATAATGCTTTAAGGGAATATATTTAGCGCTTTTGTTTCTTCACTGTTTTCCTTTGTAATATTAACAAAAACACTTTATAAGATTATAATTTGTCTTGTAGAGTTCTTATTACAACGCTTTTCGTATATGTTAATTAGTGCTTTAAGGGAATACAGTTTCTGATGTGTTTCTTAACTGCCTTTTCTTTTATATAATATAGCACTTTATGGGTTTATACTTTGTGCTCTAGAGTTCTAATTACAGTGCTTTTCGTATATGTTAATTAGTGCTTTAAGGGAATAAAGTTAGTGCTTTTGTTTCTTAACTACCATTTCTTTTTATAATATAGCACTTTATGGTATTATGCTTTGTGTTCTATAGTTGTAATTACAGTGCTTTCCGTATTTGTTTTATAATGTTTTAAGGGAATATATTTAGCGCTTTTGTTTCTTCACTATTTTTCCTCTTTATTTTAAAGCACTTTATAACATTATACTTTGTGCTGTAGAGTTCTAATTACATTGCTTTTTGTATATGTTAAATAGTGCTTTAAGGGAATATATTTAGCGCTTTTGTTTCATCACTGTTTTCCTTTATAATATTAACAAAAGCACTTTATAAGATTATAATTTGTGCTGTAGATTTCTAATTACAGCACTTTTCGTATATGTTAAATAGTGTTTTAAGGGAATACAGTTAGTGTTGTGTTTCTTAACTGCCTTTTCTTTTTTATAATATAGCGCTTTATGGGTTTATACTTTGTGCTCTATAGTTCTAAATACAGTTCTTTCCGTATTTGTTTTATAATGCTTTAAGGTAATATATTTAGCGCTTTTGTTTCTTCACTGTTTTTCCTCTATATTATGAAAGATTTTATAAGATTATACTTTGTGCTTTAGAATTTTAATTATAGTGCTTTTTGTATATGTTAAATAGTGCTTTAAGGGAATACCGTTAGTGTTGTGTTTCTTAACTGCCTTTTCTTTTTATAATATAGCACTTTGAGGTATTATTCTTTGCGCTCTATAGTCCTAATTATAGTGCTTTTGGTATTTGTTTTATAATGCTTTAACGGAATATATTTAGCGCTTTTGTTTCTTCACTGTTTTCCTTTATAATATTAACAAAAGCACTTCATAAGATTATAATTTGTGCTGTAGAGTTCTAATTACAGCTCTTTTCATATATGTTAAAGAGTGCGTTAAGGGAATACAGTTAGTGTTGTGTTTCTTAACTGCCTTTTCTTTTTATAATATTGCACTTTATAAGATTATACTTTGTGCTCTAGACTTCTAATTATAGTGCATTTCGTATATGTTAAATAACGCTTTAAGGGAATATATTTAGCGCTTTTGTTTCTTCACTTTTTTCCTTAATAATATTAACAAAAGCACTTTATAAGATTATACTTTGTGCTCTCGAGTTCTAATTACAGTGCGTTTCGTATATGTTAATTAGTGCTTTAAGGGAATAAAGTTAGTGCTTTTGTTTCTTAACTACCTTTTCGTTTTATAATATAGCACTTTATGGTTTTATACTTTGTGCTCTATAGTTCTAATTACAGTACTTTCCGTACTTGTTTTATAATGCTTTAAGGGAATATATTTAGCGCTTTTGTTTCTTCACTGTTTTCCTTTATAGTATTAACTAAAGCACTTTATAAGATTATACTTTGTACTCTAGATTTCTAACTACAGTGCTTTTCGTATATGTTAAATAGTGCTTTAGGGGACATGGATACGGAAAGATCGGGACTTGCAATTTCTCATATTCCAATCGGACGAGTCTCGAGAGCTCGAGCGAAAGCGTGCATTGAAAAATTGCAAGGCCTGATAAAGAAATTAGAGAATTGGAGCCCAACCGACGGACTGTGTTACAACATGCGAGGACTTGATGGAAAGCCTAGGGCGAGTGCCGTGGTTGTAAAGGTTACATTGGAGCTTGCAACGCCTCAATCGGACAACTAGTGAAAAAGTTGTGCAAACCTAGGAGTTTGCTAAAATAGAGGGTTTAATATGTAATTATATAAACCTAGGTTGCATATGCTCAAGTGAGGGGGGTCCATCAATTGGGACCACTTATATATATATATATAATAAGCTCTCACATACTTCTCACATGCAAGAGGGGGGGGGACCAATAGGACCCTTAAGGTGCTTTGTAAGATACACCTAGCAAAATATATTTTTGTGACTATTTGATCATTTATGATCACTTCCTTTTATGGAAAGTTATGCTTGATAGCAATACTTTCTCTTTTAGTCTAATATTTCATGGAATGCAGTTCCATTGCATGCGCCATGAGGTTTAGTTTTAAAATCCGGGTTTGAGTATAAAGCCTCAAGTTCGTGGCATTTGGGAAAGGTGGAAGAGCTCTTCAAAGTGTCGACCGAGGTGGTGCCTTCGTGGAGGATAGTTCGATGCTTGAAGGGTATCGGGTCGTTCTTACGTTAGTACTTACTTAGGTTTGCTTCTCTTTCGACTATCAGTTTTCTCGCTTTATGCGTTTTGTTTAGTTAATTCGTTCCTTATTTTCTTGCTTAGTTAGTTCTGTTTAGTTATTCGTTCTTTCTCGTTGTTTATTAGATAGTTCTATTTTAGTTAGTTTATTCCGTGTCTTGTGTAGTTGATCAATTTTGGTCCATGACATATATTTAATTTTGGTATCAGAGCAGTTTGATCAATTTACACTATCTTTATTTCGAAAATTCTGAAAAAAAAAAATAAATAAATTCCTTTGTTATCTTTTCTTTTCATTCTTTCTTCTTGTTGCTTAGTTGAACTTTTTCATTGCATATAATTGACGTAAATTCGATCTCGAGTTTTGTCATTGTTTGGCCTTCTAGTGTAGACAATTTGATCCTCTATGCTTCCTAGTGTACAACATGCACCTTACATCTATATACATTATATGAACTCAAGTTTGGGACTTTGTTGACGGGTGATTTTAATATACACTTGATACTCTTGCTTGAGTTTTGTGAGTTTGTTCTTGTTTAAGTGTTGCAAGTTTGTTCTTGTTTGAGTTCTGCGATTTTGCTCTTTTTCGAGTTTTGCAAGTTTGCGGGTTGTTGAGTTCGTTGTTGTTTGAAGTGAGGTTGAATTAATTTTAAGTTGGATGTTTTTGGGGAAGTGTAAGGGTTATTGATGATGTATTGTTTTACCTAGGCCTCGTAATATTGCCGTGAAAAAAAGTAAGAAAAAAAAGGAGTTGCGAAAAAAAAATTGTTGCAAAGAAAAGAAAAAGAAAACCAAAATATTTGAAAAAAAAAAGAAAACGAAATACAAAAAAACAAAATCGAGCGGGAGGACTAGAGCAATTTTTTGTTGATAATCTTGTTTGAGGTGTAGTTTTCTCATACGAGCTCCGTTTTTCGCATATGATATGTCATTGGAAAGCTTGTGAAGTGGGGAGAAAGTTATATTAATCAGTTTTTGTGATTTTGTAATTGACGTTGATTATTCAGTTTTGGGTTTTTGAGTTTGGATCGATTTTGTGTTTGTCATATTCGTTTGACACGTTTTAAAAGGGGTTGAGTATTGTGGTGATTTGGTGGTTGTTGAGATCTAATTGAGCTTGTGTTTGTTGTTGACTTGCTTAGTTCCGGAATTTGTTTGTTGTGTACGTTTGGTCATTCGCTCGTGAATGAATGAGCTTGGTTCTTTGCATTGCATGATTGACACTATTTTGAGATTTCTTTGATTGAGTCTTGTTTATAGTTTCTTGTCCACATTAAACACATACGTCACTCAGGTTCCATCTTTACGACTCCATCAAGGCACACTTTAAGAGCTTGGAAACTCTATCCATTTGTCGAGAGGTATACATGCGTGTGCGAGAGGGGGGAATTGTGAGAACTAACTTTCAATATACATATATTAGATTGTTTTGGTGCAGGTATGGCTTCATTGGATGATATCTTGGCTGCGATAAATAAGCAAAGCAAAGATATGCGAGATATTAAAGACGAGTTAGGCGGAAAGATGGATAGCATGACATCTCGTGTGGATCCACAAGGTCGAGAGACACCTGACCTACGGAGTCAAGTAGATCATGTTCGAGAGGACATAGATGATGTTGTGGATGCTCGGATGAAGGCTTATGCGGAGGCCTTGTTAAGGAAGGTTGATAAAAAATATGGAAAAGAAACTCAATGAGGTTTTCAATAAGGTTGCTACTCTTGAAGAAAAAGGAAGTCATAGTGATGCTAGACGTGAAGAAATCCACCTTGGCAAGCAACCTATGGGCTCAACAAATGTTTTCCTAAATCGATCTATCCAAGTTGATGATTTTAGCGAAAGGCGTCCTACTAGTCCAAGGCCTACATCTATCCAAGGTCGACGAGGAAGACAGGATGCTACCAAAGAGTTACTTGATGAGTTTGACTTCGAAGAAGATATCCATAACCGAAGAAGCCGAGTTCGAGTTAATGAGGTTGATGATAACATGCAGTCCATCAAGTTCTCCATACCACCTTTCGTAGGATCGGCTGAACCTAATGAGTTTCTTGAGTGGAAAAGCAAAGTGGAGATGATGTTTGCATGTCATAATTACTCGGAGCGCAAGAAAATTCAGCTTGCTGTTGTGGAGTTTAAGAAGTATGCCCTTGTTTGGTGGGAGAAGGTACAAGTCGATATTGCAAGGTCGGGAATGCCTCCGGATGAGACATGGGCAGCCCTTACTCGAGTTATGCATGCACGTTTTGTGCCCCCGCATTATCAGATGGATCTTCAGAAAATTCAGTTTTTAGTCCAAGGTAGCAAGACGGTTGAACAGTACTACAAGGAAATGGAGATGCTTATGATGCGGGCTCAGCTTATGGAAGATGATGGAGTCACCATGTATCGGTTTCTCAAAGGGTTGAGGCGTGATATTATGATTCAAGTGGATATGTATCCATACAATTCTACTTTGGAACTTGTCCAACTTGCTACCAAGATTGAATCGCATGGAAAGTTAGGAGTAAGTGTAAGCTTTGGAAAGACGTCACCAAATTTCAACAAGTTTGGGGGTAATATGGGACAAACAAAATGTTGGCCCAAAGGAGATGATAAGCACATGACCAAGAATAAGCCGCTTAAGGTGGTTAAGCGTGATGAACCAAGGAAAGTCAGCAAGGATGGTTCACCAAACAAAGCAAAGCATGTCACATGCTTTAAGTGTCAAAGGAAAGGTCATTATGCCAATACATGCCCAAATTTGCGAACTTTTGTGCTTTGTGACAATGGGGACTATGTATTTTTGTCGGATGATGAGGGTGAAGATAGGGAACATGGGGTTGAGGCGAGTGAGGATGAAGCAATCCAAGTGATGGAAGAGCACGTTGAAGAGGATTCATCCGGGGAGTCTCTAGTGGTTTTGCGAATGCTTGGTGCTGTTCCCAAGGAGTCGGAAAAATTTGTTGATCGGGTTAAGGAGCAACGGGGGAATTTGTTCCATTGTCGGTGCAAGATTGGTGGGAAGCGAGCATCGATAATCATTGATAACGGAAGTTGCACCAATGTCTTAAGTTGGTATGTGGTAGACAAGCTTGGACTCCAAACTATCAAGCATCCGACTCCATACCATCTTCAATGGATGAACTCTAGTGGAGATATGAAGATCACTACGCAAGCCAAAGTTCCAATTTCAATCGGCCCCTACAAAGAGGATGTCCTTTGTGATGTTACTCCGATGACCGCATGCCATGTGCTTCTTGGCCGACCATGGCAATCCGATAAAGAATTATCTATGATGGCAAGACTAACAAAGTTAGATTTTATGACAAGGGCTACAAGGTAATGATTCCTTCTTTGCCATTGAAGGAGGTTCAAAAAGATCAAGAAAGTTTGCGAAAGAAGATGCAAGAGGCTGAAAGCCTTTAAAGAGCTAAAGGAAAAGAAGTATCCACAGAGGAAAGGAGAGACTCTACTGCTAAGGGTTCCAACATCCTTCTTTCATTTACCGATTTTCAGAGAGAAGTTGGTGACCTAGATCATCAAAAGGGAGGGTGTTTTATGATGTTATGCAAAGATTTATTTCATTCTGATAAAGATAATCTACTCACTAGTTTTCCCATTCCCTTTGCTAGGATGCTTGAAGAGATGAAGGATGTATACCCGGAGGAACTACCGCAAGGACTACCGCCCATTCGTGGGATAGAGCATCAAATTGACTTCCTACCCGGTGCTTCAATCACAAATTGTCCTGCGTATCGGTGCAACCCAGATGAGAATAAGGAGATTCAAAAACAAGTCCAAGAACTTCTTGAGAAGGGATGGGTTCGGGAGAGCTTATCACCATGTGCTGTTCGTGTTAGCATTGTCCCCAAGAAGGATGGGACTTGGAGGATGTGTGTGGATTGTAGAGCGGTGAATGCGATTACAATCAAGTATCGACACCCAATCCCACACCTTGATGACTTGCTTGATGAAATCAATGGAGCGAGAATGTTCTCCAAGATTGACCTTCGGAGTGGATACCGCCAGATTCGTATACAACCCGACGATGAGTGGAAAACGGCATTTAAAACAAAGCTAGGTTTGTACGAATGGTTGGTAATGCCATTCGGTCTAACTAATGCTCCTAGTACCTTCATTCTTTTAATGAATCATGTTCTACGTGCTTTCATTGGTACATTTTTTGTAGTATACTTTGATGATATTCTTGTCTACAGTAAAAGTAAAGAGGAACATGTTGAGCATGTGCGACTCGTCTTTCAACGGTTAAGGGAAGAACAACTCTATGCTAATTTTAAAAAGTGCATATTCCACACTAATGAAGTTGTTTTCCTTGGGTTTGTATGTTAGCAATGACTTGAAGGTTGATGATTTTCTTTTTATAATAGAGCACTTTGTGGTATTATATACTTTGTGCTCTATAGTTCTAATTACAGTGCTTTCTGTATTTGTTTTATAATGTTTTAAGGGATTATATTTAGCGTTTTGCTTCTTCGCTATTTTTCCTTTATATTATAAAGCACTTTATAAGATTATACTTTGTGCTGTAGATTTCTAACTACAGTGCTTTTTTGATATGTTAAAAAGTGCTTTAAGAGATTTTAGTTAGTGCTTTTGTTTCTTAACTGCCTTTTCTTTTTATAATATAGCACATTATGGTATTACACTTTGTGCTCTATAGTTCTAATTACTGTGCTTTTTTTATTTGTTTTATTATGCTTTAAGCGAATATATTTTGCGCTTTTGTTTCTTCACTATTTTTCCTTCATAATATTAACAAAAGCACTTTATAAGATAATACTTTGTGCTCTAGAGTTTTAATTACAGTGCTTTTCGTATATGTTAAATAGTGCTTTAAGGAAATACAGTTAGTGCTTTTGTTTTTTTATTGTCTTTTCTTTTTATAATATAGCATTTTATTGCTTTATACTTTGTGCTTTAAGGGAATAAAGTTACCGCTTTTATTTCTTCACTCTGGCTTTTGTTTTTATAATATAGCACTTTATCGTATTATACTTTGTGATCTATAGATCTAATTACAGTGCTTTTTGTATTTGTATTTCGTATATGTTAAATAGTGCTTTAAGGAAATACAATTAGTGCTTTTGTTTATTCATCGCCTTTTGTTTTTATAATATAGCACTTTATTGCTTTATACTTTGTGCACTATAGTTCTAATTACAGTTCTTTTTGTATTTGTTTTATAATGCCTTAAGGGAATATATTTAGCGCTTATGTTTCTTCACTGTTTTTCTTTTATATTAGAAAGCACTTTATACGATTTTACTCTGTGCTCTAGAGTTCTAATTACAGTGCTTTTCGTATACGTTAAATAGTGGTTTAAGGGAATACAGTTCGTGATTTTTTTTTATTGCCTTTTGTTTTTATAATATAGCACTTTATTGCTTTATACTTTGTGCTCTATAGTTCTAATTACAGTGCTTTTTGTATTTCTTTTATAATGCCTTAAGGGAATACATTTAGCGCTTTTGTGTTTTTACTGTTGTTTCCTTTATATTGGAAAGAACTTTATACAATTATACTTTGTGCTCTAGAGTTCTATTTACAGTGCCTTTCGTATATGTTAAATAGAGCTTTAAGGGAATACAATTAGTGTTTTTGTTTTTTTATTGCCTTCTGTTTTTATAATATAGCACTTTATTGCTTTATACTTTGTGCTCTATAGTTCTAATTACAGTGCTTTTTGTATTTGTTTTATAATGCCTTAAGGGAATATATTTACCGCTTTTGTTTCTTCACTGTTTTTTTCTTTTTTCGTTTTTGTTGTAGAGTGTTCGAAATTAGTATATTTAGCGTTTTTATTTTTTCAATGTTTTTCCTTTGTACTATATAGCATGTTATAGATTATACTTACTTTGTGCTCTATTGTTCTAATTACAGTGCTTTTCGTATTTTTTGTAGAGTTTTCCAAATTAGTATACTTAGCGCTTTTGTTTTTTCAATGTTTTTCCTTTATATTATATAGCATGTTAAAGATTATACTTACTTTGTGCTCTATAGTTCTAATTACAGTGCTTTTCGTATTTGTTGTAGAGTGTTCGAAAATAGTATACTTAGCGCTTTTGTTTTTTCAATGTTTTTCCTTTATATTATATAGCATGTTATAGATTATACTTACTTTGTGCTCTATAGTTCTAATTACAGAGAGTTTTCGAAATTAGTATATTTAGCGCTTTTGTTTTTTCAATGTTTTTCCTTTATATTATATAGCATGTTATAGATTATACTTACTTGCTCACTCAGGTTAAACCCGCAAAGAGGTTAGCTAAAAAAAGGGTTCCCAATGAAAAAAATTGCAGTAAGCCAATTGAATAGCGAGATCGACTTGAGTAGAGAGGACGAGTTTAGAAGGGGAAAGAATGATATATCTGTAAAGAATAGAAAAAGGAGATTCAACCAAAACATTCAACTTCGAAATTACAAAAGAAGATTTCAAAAGGAAAAAATGTACCTGCAGAGCCCGAAAAGAAGAAAGGCTGTGTGTTCCAGTTCAGAAACATAAGTACCTTCCTTACCCTGATATTTGTTAACAAAATTAGTCCAGCCTCTCTCTTTTTCAGGAAGTTTGGCCAGGGCCCAACCAGCATGGTTGGGTGAAGGTTCTCGACCCTCAAAAGAAACCAGAACAGGATCGTCGCCTATGATTGGCAAATGTGCGATGACGGCCACGTCCATCAGGGTCGGCCCGATAGGACCGGCCGGGAGGAAGAATACACCCATCTGAGAATACCAAAAGGCCGCCATCGCTAGTAAAGCTCTGTCGTGCAGATAAAGAGGCTGAGTTGAGAGGAGGATGGCTTTGTCCATCCCTTGTTTTTTCAACTGTTCTTCAAAATGGGGAAGAAGCCTCGCATACCATTTACGGTAGGCGTCTTTTGGATCAGTAAGGTGAGTTCTGATATTGTCCAGAAGATGTTCTGGCTTGAACGCAGCATCTTTAACGATGATTGGAGAAACCTGAGAGATGACGGATCTCATAGGATTAGCATCTTCGGTAGTGGTGCAGTAAGGGCGTATGGTAGGGGTAAGAACCCTTAAAGCCATAGAAGGCATTGATGGGTCAGCCCCATCGAAAGGGAGAGCGGGGACGTATTGGTTAGCCATTTGCGAAGAGGTGAAGAAGACGAAGAGGAAGAAGGTTTCAGAGGAGGCAGTTGGATGAAGAAACAAAGAAGAATTTCTAGAACTCTGAATGCGTGAAATTGAGAGGGTGAAGGAAGGATTTTACATAAACCCCTTGATTTGACACGAAGTAGAGTAATGATCACACTGCTCTGCAAACCCCTAAACGTCACGTTTAACGCAGTTCAAGGAGTGACGTTTCGGAGTTAGGCGGAAGGAGGCAAGTTGTTGAGCACAAAAAAAATGATAGGTAGGGTTTTTGAGAATGGACCTACCAAATTAGGTTAAGGTTTATTTAAGTTTAATGGGCTTTCAAAAGTCTGAATATAAACGCTGTTAAGGAAGAAGCTCCTCGGGAAAAGGCAGCTCAGGTGTAACAAGGTCGGGTGCAAAGATCGGGTGTTATCAGGTCGGGCACGGAGCTCAGGTGTAACAAGGTTGGGTGCAAATATCGGGTGTGATCAAGTCAGGCACGGAGCTCAGGTGTAACAAGGTTGGATGCAAAGGTCAGGCGGAATAAGGTCTCAAAGGTCGGGTGTAATAAGGTCGGGCACTGAAGTCGGACGTGGTCGGGTCGAGCTCAAAGGTCGGGCGTGATAAGGTTGGGCAAAGAGATAAGATGGTATAAGGTCGGGATTGAAGGTTGGGTGCGATAAGGTCGGACACTGAGGTCGGACGTAATCAGGGCGAGCTCGAAGGTCGGGCATGATAAGTTCGGGTACAGAAATGAGTTAGGATAAGGTCAGGCGTGATAAGGTCGGGCACTGAGGTCGGACGTGATCAGGTCGGGCAAGGAAAATCGAATGTGATAAGGTCGGGAACTAAGGTCGGATGTGAACAGGTCGGGCACGGAGGTCGGATGTGATAGGATCAGGTGTTATGTATATAAGTAGGGCGAAGCGGACTCAGGCATGGCAGGAGGTTAAACAAGGGGAGGACGGGCAAGAGAAGACGAAGCAGTAGATGTGCAGGTCGGGAAAAAGAGCAGTTGTTGGACAGTTGAGGGAAGTTTCAACTGATGAGGGGGTTTGAAGGCACGACTTGGTGAGTCGGTTAACACACATGTCGACAGAAGAGAATTTTCTGGGCGGTTGACAGCGGTTGCTGTAACTAACCAGATGGCGGTTCAAATAATTTCTTTAAAGGGTTTTAAATAGGTCTGTTCCTGACCTAAGAAACCACCTTCAATCGACATCAAATTCAAAAGAATTGCCTTTGGGGATCACCACTTTATTTTCCAGTCTGTATTATAATTTCCTATTTTATTTATGTATCCTACAGAGTTTAGATATTTCTAATCTCAGGAACTAATTATATCAAATTCAAAGATATTTTCCTATTTTCGGATTTTACTTTTTATTGTTGAAAAAACACTTCAACAAAATTAAAAAAAAAGGCCAATCAAGAAGGAGAAACACTAACTGTATTCCTTTAAAGCACTATTTAACATACTAAAAAGGCACTGTAATTATAACTTTAGAGCACAAAATATAATCTCATAAAGTACTATATAATAAAAAGAAAAAACACTGAAAAAACAGACACACTATTTATAATGCCTAAACACATTATGTAACAAATACGAAAAACACTGTAATAAGAACTATAGATTAAAGAGTATAAATCCCATAAAGTATAATATAATAAAAAAAAGGCAGTCAAAAATTGAAGATCTAACTGTATTCCCTTAAAGCACTATTTAACATACTCGAAAAGCACTGTAATTAACTCTAGAGCACAAAGTATAATCTCGTAAAGTGCTATATAATAAAAAGAGAAAACACTAATGAAACAAAGGCGCTAATTGTATTACCTTAAAACACTATGTAACAAATACGAAAAGCATTGTAATAAGAACTACAGACTACAGAGTATAAATCACATAAAGCACAATATAATAAAAACAAAAGGCCGTCTAGAAGCAAAAACACTAATTGTATTCCCTTAAATCACTATTTAACATACTTGAAAAGCACTGTAATTTTAATTCTAGAGCACAAAGTATAATCTCATAAAGTGCTATATAATAAATAGAAAAAACACTAAAGAAACAAAAGCGCTATTTATATTACCTAAATACACTATGTAACAAATACAAAAAGTACTGTAATAAGAACTATAGGCAAC